GACATAGGTATGCACACACAGCAAAAATCATAACAAATGCATAGAATCATGTTGTATTTGCCAAAAGTCCATAGTGTTCAAACCATCAGTCAAAAAGCAGCCACTTAACCTGAAATGACTCAAGTCTTACATTTCCTCCTCTGAGCAAAGAACAACCTCCAGATCGGCAGGGCAGAACTCCGTGTGGCGGTGCACAGTGGAGTGAATGCCAGCACCCGTCAGCAGGAGATGAGCTGTCAGCACTGATCTGCTGTCAAGGAGACAAGCAAGAGAAGCCATCAGGGCAAATTACAAGTCAGATCTGTGGAGAGGGAGGTTTGTTCACTGTAAAAATGTACTGTAATTTTGAGTAATATTGATGCCACGCTATGGGGTTTTCTGCCTCTATATACTCCTACAGTATATATGGCAGAATGTTCAGCAGTTACCATGGTGACACAATGAACACATTAGCTAACACAGCAAGAAATTTTTAAGATACTCTGAAAATTAGGCATTTGATTTTCAACAGAAAGATGACAGTGACTAACTGAAAAACAGAATGTTCAGCTGCAAAGTATCAGTAAACACCTGTACTCAAATAAATGTGCAATAGATCAATAAAATACCATACTGGGAAACATTCCTCACAAAGTACTAACCTCTCTATGGAGACAATGTATGAGAAACAAGTTAGTAGCCTATATCTGAGGCCTTATGTCTGTTTATACAAATCACCAGCAGAGGGTACAAATACCCCAGCAAAAACCAACCTGTTTTCATCAGGCCTAAAATTTTTGTTGTGTCTTTGACCCAAAACCTCTTGTCTCAGTCTACGTGCAAGTCTAACAAGCAAAAAGGTGCAAACAGACAAACATTCAGGTGCATCTAGTAAATTAGCATTAGCACTAAAACTTTGCAGCTGTAATTGCTAACAAAAACAACTCATGACCTCAATTTTAACTTCAGTATGTAGACCTCATCTAAATTATGTTACAAGCATTAGATTTTTAAACCATGCTAAGAAACACAAGTAAAGTAACACAAGTAAATGGTATTTATTGTTTGATAAAAATACTATAATGATGGGAACCACATGTATGCCCTTCCCACCCTACTGCCAGTGTGTGCATAAACTGCCTAGTGATGGAAATTTAACTGCTGTAAAGATTATATGCCAGTGAATACAGAAAAGAGACATTGCTTTTAAAATCACAGAGGAGCACTTTTCAATTACCACCAAATGACGTCAAAGGATGAGGTCAAAAGATGAGGTCAAAAGATGAGGTCAAAAGATGAGGTCAAAAGATGAGGTCTAAGCATTTTTCATACCTGTATTTTTTTTTTTTACAGTTTCCTGTGCAGTTGGCCTTGAAATGACTCAGACCTTACATTTCCGGATATATGAGCCAAGAATGGCCTGGTGATTAGTTGTGCTGTGTACCAGCGTCTGTAACGGGCTGTGCCTTGTCAACACAAACAGATCCCACTCAGCAGGAGATGAGCTGTCAGCCGCTGATACAGGACTGACACTGAGCTCTTTAACTAGACAGTGTCATGGCAGCAGACAGAGGCTGGTATTACACAATAGCACTGGACTACACGTACAGATGATGACGAAATATTACCATTCTAAAATTCACTTCATTTTATTTTCAGCCCGAGCACCGACTGACATTGTGTCCATTGTAAGACTCTAAAAGGTGCACTGTGTAACTTTTCTGGCGAAGGGTCCGTCAAATAGTTTTGTCCATGGAGACGTTATTGCTTTGTTTGGAATGTTTCACAGTATGGCATTAAACCTTTCAATCTTCACGGAGATCAAACCAGACAAAGTTACAGGTCAGATCTGTGGAGAGGCGCGCCCGCTCACAGTCAGAATGTCTGTTTTTCTTGGTATTTTTGAGCTATAAAACCACCTGTAACTGATCAATGTAAAGAAGAGCTTTTTAATGTCACACTGTGGAACATTCCAGACAGAGCAATAACATATCCATAGAAACAAGCAGGTGACAGACCTCCAACCAAAAAACTGTCCAGTTCCCATTGTAATCAGTTCACTATGAGGTTATACAGCATTTGAAAAGAATGCCGTCAAAAAAGTTGATAAAATTTGATTAAAAATTCATACTTACACATATTTTCTGCCATTTGGAGAGATAAAATCCTTGCAATGCTTAAGGGCTGAAAATTTTGGAAAAAAGTTTTGAGTAGTTTTTTCTGACAGGCTTTGTAACTGTGGTTAGATTTGTGATTTATATTGTCAAATCAGGATCTTATTCACATTTGCATTTTTAAAACTAATACAATATGTTTCAAGGTACTTTGATGTTGGTGCTGATAATAATGGATTAAATGGTTTCTTCTCCTTCTTTAACCTAGACATTCAAATACACAGTCTTATACAGCTTCATTTTATATGGAAATATAATATATTACAACACACTGTATAGAACAAAGGCTTTTTCAACTTTTTTAAAAAAAAAGGGAGACCCCTATCAGGAAAATTACACAGTTGACCTTTAACATGGATGTACTTTGGTTAAAGGGCCCATATCACGCTGGTCTCTGTTATAATGTTATTTCCTCATCGCAAACACCTAGAGTTGTGTTTTGTTTCATTCGCATATGTTTAACAAACAGATCCTGCATATTTTGTCTGTGTTCTTCTCTCTGTTGTGGAAAAAATATTAATCTCTTGAAGAAAAAAAAAATTAATCCATTTGCAAAGCCTCATGTGTTTTTGGAATACGGACAAAGGTTTATTCTTCTTGTTACAGCAGATATGGACAGGGCCTAGGTCTGCCCTGGCCACAGACAGCCTCTCCCCCAGAGCATTCCCTCTTCCATCTCCCAGAGCATCTCCCCTCAGAGCATCTAAGATCTGAGTCTCTCTTCCTGAGTCTCTGCCCCAGAGCATTTGAGCTCTGAGTATTTATACAGAAATACAATTTACATACATATCAAAGCAGAGTGAAACTTGTCTCACAAGGCAGAGTGACACTTGTCTCATAAAGCAGAGTTCTAATCAATTTAACATACATTTGAGGACAGGTAGTACAGTAAAGGGCTTCCTGAGGGTGGGGACAGTTATGTTTGCTGAGCCTTTACACATGTTAATGACTTGTCTGGGTCTCAGGTGGAAATCACATTAATTTACACAATCACAGATTGAGAGAAATATTGTGGAAACAATATAGATTTCCATCACATCTCAAACAGAAACCACTCAAACACAGCTTCAGGTATGTTTTTGATGAAGTAACAACATTCTAACATAAGCTCACAGCAGTCAATTTTGCGAAATATGGGACCTTTGAACCATTATTTTAAACACACTGTTTATATATATGTTCATATTCACCCAAAAACAGCTTACAGACTCTGAAGTTATTCTACTCAAGGTAAAACGTCAAAAACAAAAATAGCTGGTGACGCTTCATGAATATCCAACCATGCATGGGATGAGTACCAAACTCTATCTCTCAGCACACACTCATAAGACAAACTATGCACAAAGACCCTCAAATGTTCTCTTATCTCTTTCCAATTTTGTCATTGTCAAGTCACTACATTAAAACTCTAGCTGCCAAAAAATAAATAAATAAAGACTTTATCACCACTTCCACTCCTCAGAACAATAAAACTAAGTTGATTCACCACTGGAAAACTGAGATACATTAAATTAAAACAAACACTTGAAGAAAACCTTCCAGCAATGTGTTTACAGTCATTTTTCTCCCTGAAGCAGTTGATTAGAGACACATTTTTCAAAGATGAGTAGTAACCATGTTGTAATTGTCTTTCCTTCTCATTTACCCACTCCAAGTTGTATTTAGAGAAGTGTTGTCATGATACTAAAATTTCAAACTCGATTTTGATTCTAAGGAATAGACTTGATACTCAGTATAGATTCTGATACTACAATGATGATAATAGATTAGACAATAGAATGTGACTTTAAACATTAAATTGTAGTAAATTCTTTTGTATTTTCATGTGTGTTATGGTCAGTGGTGCAGTAGGTTCATGTTGGTCCATGTTTGTGTACTAGTCTATGTGCTCTGACACTTGTTCTGATACAACTCAACATCATTCTGAAGAGGAAAGCTTCATTTCTGTCCTGTGAATGTGATTTTTTTAGTATCAATACTTGCTCAAATGAGTATCTAGTTTCAATACTGGTTTTAGTATTGATTAGTATCTGTTTTTGATACTTTTGACAACCCTGTTTTAGATGTATTCATGCATGTTTGAGTAATATTTATTCTGCATTCAAGGCACCATTGTTCTGAAAATCCATGTTTTTACTTATCTCCATACATATCCACTGCTCTATGCTTTTCCTTTTTTTTTAACTGTCTGTGATGTTTAAGACATTTTAGTTAGATAAGTTAGTTTTGTTTTTTTGTTTTTTTGATTAGTTATTTTAGTTAAGTTCATTCTAATTTTTCACAAATTATAGTGAAAAGTGGGAGCAGGATTGATGTCTAACCCAACTGTCCTCTGTGCAATTACAAACTCTTGTGTGCTGACCATATATTGCAATCATCAATCAAATGTGAAATGAATTGTCCAGAAGAATTATTAAAAGCCCACTACAAAGTTTAAAGCCCCACCCTGTAACTTTTTAGCCACAAAATAGACTAGACTTACATGGGGACTTTTTTTTGTATGTTTTTATTTCACTGAAAAACATAGAAAAAACATGTGTCTTTACTGTGAGTTTGCTTCCATCACCACAAACCTGACTCTTATTTGGTCTGGAGGCAGGCTTTCTCCTGCTTGTTTCCATGGAAATGTTTTTTACTATAATATATTCCACGCTATGGCATGAAACCTATCTCTTTGGAGAATGTTCCGAAGTATGGTTTTAATCTTGTATTTCCAGAGAATCATGCATGACCTCCAGAAAGTTACCTGGTTGCTTTAACCTGCTTGGTTCAGTTCCTCACCATACACTTCCTCACCCCAACTTGCATTAAAAGTGTTCTCACATCTCTCTGTCCTCTTTCTTGCAGTCATCACACTGTGCTGTATATTCAAATGTCGAATCCCAAGAACCAAGAAGGAGATCGAAGCACGGCACGCCATGAGACAGGCTGCTAAGAAATATGCCAACACGCTGGAGACAGTGCCACCTCTGGAGGAGCTCACCGAGGTCCCGGGCTGTGAGTACATTTCACTCTGTGCTGTGTGTGTGGAGATTTAGATTAAAACAGTGTATATGACAGACTTTCATGTTTTTTTCCCCTTGTTTTTGGGGTATAGCATGTGGTTAATATTTTTTGTAGTTTTACATCAGCATAGGAAAAAATATAAAAGAAAAGTACAAAAATACAGGAAGTAGTTATTTTGATATTATTCATATTTCAAGAATTTTATGGAAACTCATGCAAACCAACAAAACCTTTATAGGAAATATGCATCACCTGCTTGCCTCCATGGTTATTGTTTCCCTGTAATGTCCAAAAGTGTGGCATCTGGCTAAAAATATACGTGTGAGCAGGGGTCGCCTCTCCACAGATCTCTCCAGTTGATCTGACCTGGTGGTGCAAGCTGCTTGTGGGACTGGAAACAGATGGCCAAAAACAGAATTTGACTTTTCCATTTGACCTATTTTCATTATTTTAAGACGAAGCAGAAGATTTAATTTTATATCTTCAAAAATCTGAAATGGTTCCTGTTTATTTATTTAATACCATGACAAACCTATTTTTTATTTTGATATTTTTTACCCATATGCTCCTGTCAAAGAGAAAGTGCCTTAAGTAATAGAACCTGTAACTGTCAGGATGTAATATCTGATTTTTGTCACTGGACAAAACAATCACTATCTTAGTCATATCTGTCAGAAATAATGTCACAAAAAAACAACTTTTACTCAAGTAAGAGTACTCTGACTTCAAACTAAATATTACTCTAATATTACAAAAGGTCACCCAAGAAAATGTAAACAAATACTACCAACCTCTGATTATATAAAGCCTAATTATTGTATGAAAATTAAAAAATCTACTCACTGACCAATTTCTTCTTCATTAGCCAAAGCAGGCCAGAGTGCACTGTCTTTTCATGCATATTGTTCATTGTGCTGACCTATTACTTGCCAGTCCAAATTGTACTCATTGTTTACTTCATTAGCATCTGAAAACTCTGTGTAATGTGAGAAAGACACTTGACAGGTCTTTAAAGGAGACGCTCTGTTCCAGTGAATATTGTGCCCAGAGAAGGCTGAAAAAGCCAGTCTTGTAATTACAGCCTGTCAGTTTGGTGCAGTCAAATTGCTTCTGTTTACTGAACTCTCAGGCCTCTTTAGGCCTTCTTTAACCCTTGGCTGAAAAAAATGTCATGGATAACAATGGAAATACTGTGCAGTTTAGACTTAGACAAACTTTATTGATCAAAAAAAAAAAAAAAAAAGTGGAATTATTTGGACACAGCAGCTCACACATCACAATAATATAATAACAAAGAGCAACAATATAAATGCAAAAGCAAAAAATAGCAAGATACTGAGGTTAAATAACAATTTAACATTTATAATAATTGACATGAATATATATTGATACTTTGCAGCTGATGTCATCAACATTCCTTGGGGATGTGATGCTAACTGTAGGCACTGCTTTGTTCGAAGCTCTGTTAAGCCTTAGTCACAATAACCCGCAAGGGCAAGGTGCTCACATTTCTTGGCCCGGGGAGGCCCGTGGGGTTCCGTAGAGGAGAGAGAGTTTTCTCAGTGTTTCGTAAGGGTGGTGCAAGTGTGGCTTGCAGGAGACTCGTATGGGACCCTGGGAGAAATTTTGGCAAAGTGGGGCCTGCGAGTGTCGTGCGGGTCTTAAGACTGTTGTGAGGCAATAGTACGCCATACTTAAGTGCCACGCAAGGGTCACGTATGAGTCAAAATCTCGTACGAGCCACTTGCAACACACTCTAGTTGTTTGTACGAGGCAAGTACAAGCCTCTTACGCGGCCCGTGCGACAGTCTTACGAGATGTGGCTCTTATCGCCATGCTATATTATACTGGGCTTGTCATCACCACTTCATCACATCGTACTCATCCATCGTTCGACCATGGCCATGCCAAGACGGCTCTTACAACTAGGGTGAAGTTGTATGACATGAGGGTCGTCCGCTTCCCTGTGGCCGTCGCGCTGTGGCCGCTGTCGCTGTCCCCACTAAAGGGTGAAGTATAGTTCTGCTTTGACTCAACGTGCACTGTCGCCGTCGTTTTGTCGCCGTCGTTTTGATTTATGGATCTGCGTCGAGGTCTGTGCACCGCAAAGGAATTTACCGCCAAAACACTACGGGGCGACGATATCTGTCCATTCATATATACGGTCTGTGTGTATGACCTGCAGACGTATAATCTCTGAAAAGTTCCATCTCCGACATGATATTGAACAGACTCATTAGTACAATATCCCTGTGTCACAGAAAAAACACATATATTCCACTGAGTCGTGTCCTTTTTAAGTCTGAGAGAAGCTGACTGCGTCAGGGCACAAGAGCAATCTGTTTTTTGAGCACTTAGTTTATGCAAGTTAGCCATGTGGTTTTGTTTCTGTTAAACATAAACACATATGCGCAAAGCTGCATTTAACACATTATTTCTCAATGTATATTGAAAGAAAGGAAAGCCGACAGGAAATGTATGTAGAGCGGTGGTAGGGAGGACCAAACAAAGCCCTTATCTTCCACGTCGCTTCCCCTGCTGTCTGTTTCGACGCGTAGTTAAGGGTGAAATATAGTTCTGCGTTGACTCAACACGCACTGCCGGCGTTGCCTTGTCTCCATCGTTTTTGATTTATAGATTTGCGTCGAGGTCTGTGCAAAGCGAAGTAATTCACTGCCAGAACGCTAGGGGGCGACAATATCTATCCATTCATAAATACGGTCTGTGTGTACGACCCACAGATGTCTCTGAAAAGTTTAACATGAACCATCTCTAATGCGATAAAAGCACAGAACAGACTCACCATTAGTACAATATCCCTCTGTCACAGAAAGAACACCCATATTCCACTGAGTCGTGTCCTTTTTAAGTCTGAGAGAAGCTGACCGCGTACCAGGAGGGAGCTGTTTTATGAGCGCTTTGTTTAAGTAAGTTAGCCATGCGGTTTTAAGTTTCGTTTCTGTAAAACGTAAACACATATGCGCAAAGCTGCATTAAACACATTATTTCTTAATATATACTGAAAGAAAAAAAAGCTGACAGGAAATGTCTACAGAGCGGTGGTACGGAGAACCAATCACAGCTCTTAGCGTCTGCGTCGCTACCCCTGGTGTCTGTGGCCTTTTGACGCGTAGTTAGAAAATTTCGGAGGTGCATGTCTGTCGACGCAGAGGCTCTGCGTAGGGGGTACGCGTCAACGCAGGCTCTCTGCATCGTGATGCAGACGTTTTGACGCTGGACCGTAAATTGGCCTTTAATGCCTCGCTCTCTGACTGCCTCCTCCTCTGCCTGGTGACCTGCTGTGGCTGCCCCTGCTCCTGCTGCAATCTCCGGGCCCTCAGTGTCACGGCCCTTCCCCGTCCTCTTGCCCTTTGCCTTCCTTTTGGGGGTTACGTGACGTGATGTGTTATTGTCGGAGTAGCGACATTTCCATTTTTTATCAAACGTCCCTGCACTCCAACAGTTTTTTTTTTCCTTTTTCCTCTGGGTATGGCTCTAGTGCTGAATGTGGGTCGGTAGGAGCTGTTCCGTATGTGTCCGCCTCTGCTGCCATTAGAGCACCTCTCGTGCCATTAGAGCTTTACGCACGCTGCTCTGTTAGCAGAAGAGGGGCTACATACGCCTGACCTCCTGCAGGTGAGAGCGCGGTGGACATGCCAGGTTAATGAGTGCGTAAAAGTCCACATCTTTAAGCACGTATGAGGAGAAGCAGCTCTGCAGCCACCTCTTTATAAATTTTTATGAGTTTATAAGGGACCCATGCCCCATGACCCACCCTGTGTGTATGTTGAAGTGCCGTAAAGCAATTTTGTTCTTGCGAGAACAAGCCCTGAGAGCTGACACTGGGTTGGTGGCAACAAAGTTCCATGTCTGGTTTTTCCGCCCAGATACAGCTGGGGGCACTAGTGTACCCTTCAATCGCTCCAAAATGTCATTATGTAACCAAAGACATTAATTAAGGTTAAAAAAAAAATTACTTAGTTTTGCTTTACGTGGAGGAATTCAGAAATGGCTCATGTTTTGGGTTGATGGGTAAAACCAACCAATGGAAATCCAGCAGACACAGCGAGAACATGCAAACTCCACACCCATAAACCCTGGTCTGCTGTAGTCACCAACCATATGCTCTGCCAACTCAAACATAGCATTCATTTTCAAACTTGGAAATGAGTGAATTAGAAAAGTACATAGGAATGAGACCTTAGCATCTGTGTTTAGCACCGTCCATGACATGCCAGACAGATGCTGGTCTGATCTTCTCCTATAATTACACAAGAACAGGTCACTCTTAGCCGCCTCCATCTGCTGCTACAGATGTTAGCTGTCCGTTTGCCGTGGGAATACATTAGCATAGCCAGGACAGGTTGACATTTCATTTTTCATCTCTTTTTGGTGCATTACTTTAATATTATTTGTTTACTTCCTGGACACCTGTTCCATTTAATGGAATGTTTGTGAGTTGAAAATGTACTGAGAGCATTTGAGGGAGATGTATCTCGCCCTCTGCTGGTTGCAGTGGGTAGTGAAGCATGTCTAAATGGCTAAAAAGCAGCTCATTGCACAACGAGATAACTAGTTATTCCTAACATCTTAATTATTCACATCAGTGTAATGTAAGCAGTATAAACTGTGGAGTGGAGGTGTCATATGTAATAATGCAACTAGCACATCATCCTGGTTTGAAGGAGCAAAACAAAATTGACTTTATATGAAAAAAAAAAAAAGGCTACAACCCTTTTTGTTTTAGACTAAAAGGCAGTTGTCAATGCACAATGAATAAAAATAATGATTATGTTATAACTAAATACCAGGGAACGCATACTGGATACTTGTGATGTGTGGTGTGATGCTAACCTCGAGCACGGCTCTATCTGAGACTTTGTTAGACGTTAATCTGAGCTTTACTTTAACACAGTCTGACTAGAACGAGCTGACTTGGCTGGAACTAATGGTGGGTTGATTTGTGCTGTTAAACAAGTCTGTCACACGTA